TAATATAATTATTAGAAGTGACTTTGCGGTGAGCTCAGAGCACGTGAAGATAATGGCGGGAGTATGGGTAACCTAAGGCAGTAGGGGGAGATGAACTAGTGGCCACGGCCAAAACATCCATTATGAGTCAACCACACACAAAAAACGTACACAAACATGGCCACTTGCTTGCCAGGACTGTCTGTCTGGCTGTCTGTCGTACACCAGCATTAACCTATGTCTAAACAAGTGTCGTTCTCGCTAGCGATTCTCAGTCTACTTTGTGTTGGATATGTGGCCCCCTGTCTCTTGTGGCCCACTGTCCCTTGTGGCCCACTGTCCCTTGTGGCCCACTGTCCCTTGTGGCCCACTGTCCCTTGTGACCGACTGTCTCTTGTGGCCCACTGTCCCTTGTGGCCCACTGTCCCTTGTGGCTCACTGTCCCTTGTGGCCCACTAACCCTTTGACCCAATGTCCCTTGTGGCCCTATTGTCCATCGTGGCTCGAAAGTCCCTTGTGGCCTTACTGTCCATTGTGGCCCACTATCCCTTTGGCCCACTGTCCATTGTAGCCCTACTGTCCATTGTGGCCATACTGTCCATTGTGGCCCTACTGTCCATTGTGGCCCTACTGTCCATTGTGGCCCACTGTCCATTGTGGCCCTACTGTCCATTGTGGCCCTACTGTCCATTGTGGCCCACTGTCCCTTGTGTCATCTTTTGTATAGTACGACATTATTCCAGTCCAACACAGCCTAACATTTAAACATGTTGTGACAGGAAAATCTCCAGCCACTGCACGTCTGTGTGTACTTACCTCGATGGGCGTGGTCGTCGTCTACGCACCGACCCTCGTGCGTCGCCTCCTCGTGCGTCGCCGCCGTCGTGCGCTGGTCGTCGTTTGGCCTCTCTCCTTGCCGCACCTTGTCGTCGTCCTCCCCGGGGGAGTCGTTGTCCGCCGGCAGGTCGTTTCCCACCCTCCTGCCTCTCGTTTACCCCGCGGGGTCTTAGACGTCGTCGCATGAGTCGCCGCCGAGGCTGCCCCATCAACACCCTGTGCCCCGTCATATCACTGCTACTTCGTTCTTGCCGTAACCTGAAAGAGTAACACGGTGTTGTTACGCTGCACCAACACTTACAACACGGGGGAGTAACACGGTGTTGTTACGCTGCACCAACACTTACAACACGGGGGAGTAACACGGTGTTGTTACGCTGCACCAACACTTACAACACTGGGGAGTAACACGGTGTTGTTACGCTGCACCAACACTTACAACACGGGGGAGTAACACGGTGTTGTTACGCTGCACCAACACTTACAACACCGGGGAGTAACACGGTGTTGTTACGCTGCACCAACACTTACAACACGGGGGAGTAACACGGTGTTGTTACGCTGCACCAACACTTACAACACGGGGGAGTTACACGGTGTTGTTACGCTGCACCAACACTTACAACACGGGGGAGTAACACGGTGTTGTTACGCTGCACCATCACTTACAACACGGAGGAACACGGTGTTGTTACGCTGCACCAACACTTACAACACGGAGGTAACACGGTGTTGCTACGCTGCACCAACACTTACAACACGGGGAGTAAATACGGCAAGTTGTTACGCCGCACCAACATTCTGCCAAACACGGGGAGAACACGGTGTTGTTACGCCGCACCAACACCACAACACGGGAGAATTGCGTTACATGTTGCACCAACACTTACAACACGGAGTTACACGGTGCGTTACGCTGCACCAACACTTACAACACGGGGGAGTAACACGGTGTTGTTACGCTGCACCAACACTTACAACACGGGGGAGTAACACGGTGTTGTTACGCTGCACCAACACTTACAACACGGGGAGTAACACGGTGTTGTTACGCTGCACCAACACTTACAACACGGGGGAGTAACACGGTGTTGTTACGCTGCACCAACACTTACAAACACGGGGAGTAACACGGTGTTGTTACGCTGCACCAACACTTACAACACGGGGGACACGGTGTTGGAGCACCAACACTTACAACACACGGTGTTGTTACGCTGCACCATCACTTTCAACACGGAGGAGTACAGGTGCTGTTACGCTGCACCAACACTTACAACACGGGGGAACACGGGTTGTTACGCTGCACCAACACTTACAACACGGGACACGGTGTTGTTACGCTGCACCAACACTTACAACACGGGGGAGTAACACGGTGCTGTTACGCTGCACCAACACCTACAACACGGGGAGTTACACGGTGTTGTTACGCTGCACCAACACTTACAACACGGGGAGTAACACGGTGTTGTTACGCTGCACCAACACTTACAACACGGGGGAGTAACACGGTGTTGTTACGCTGCACCAACACTTACAACACGGGGGAGTAACACGGTGTTGTTACGCTGCACCAACACTTACAACACGGGGGAGTTACACGCTATATCACTGTTTTATCAACACATTAACGACTCTGAAACTGAATCCACAGACTTTTAAACACTTCTTTCTTCTATTTGTTGTTAAATGAGCGGCCCCAGTTTCGTCTTATTACGATCACGTGACCAAAAAAAAAACTGCTCCTAATATCCTGTAACCTGTTTCCGCTAAATGAAGTATGACCCTAACTTAATTACCAGTATCTTGTCGCCCAAATGACAAAAGCCGATTTTAGGCAGGTTATATTGGCACTTTTTCTAGCCTCTTCCCTTGATGGGTGAGGAGAGTGGCTCGTGATAAAGGCTGCTCAGTCGCACAGACAGGAACGGATTGCACTACTGCATTAAACGACCATCTTATCTATGCTGCCCATGTGCAGAGTTGTGACTAGAGACTCCCGGCAGTCATCTCTGCCTGTCCCCGTCGCCACTCTTACTGAACCTATGCACTTTCCTATAATCTCCACTCGTAGGGTTGCTGGTGTGTTATCCAGGTTGGATGTGAGTAAGGCGCATGGGCCGGACGGAATACCCCCTCGTGTTCTGAGGGAGTGTGCTGAAGTTCTGGCCCCTGTGCTTGCTCGCCTCTTTTGCCTTTGCCTCAAAACCCCAACTTTTCCTTCTTCTTGGAAGCATGCCTTGGTTTAGCGCAACCCGAAGAAGGGTGACCATTTTAATCCCTCTAACTATCGCCCCATTGCCTTGACTTCAACCATCTCTAAGATTTTCGAAACTATCTTGAACTCTCATTTTCTCCGCCACTTTGAACGCCATTCTCTTTGTTGGATCACACGTACTGGGATGTCTTCAGAGTCCTCCCTTGGCGCAGTAACCTCAGTCACATCCTCAGATCAGTCCTCCTCTCCTGTCATGTCCAATTCCGCTGAGAGAGAACAGTGCTCCTCTTCCAGGTTCATGGTCGGGCTCCTCGGATCAGTACGGCCCTGAGTTCTTCCAGGATCTCCGGTCTGGTCCTCGTCGGTGGTAAGTGGCTGCTCATCAGAGTCTTCCCAGGTGTAGTGCACTGGCCAATGATACTGCCACAGACGATTGGCGTGAACTACCTACGGCCGAGCCTTCCTTCTTCCCCTGATCTGGTGGGTCACATCTAAAAGGCATTCCACTACAGTGTAATACAGTATACGGTCCTTACCGTGGACTCTGCAACTTCAGTGACTGACCCTTCTCCGCAGAGGGATATACAGCCAGACCTTATCACCGTCCTTGTAACAGACCTAGCGTGCTTTGACATTATAGTTGCACTTTATCACCTCACCCAAGAACTCCAGAGCTCCTCAAACTTGATGGTGGACCTCCGTCAACCTCTCTTGGAGGCTTTTGACGTAACTGGTGGTTTCTTCAGGAAGTTCTTCATCAGGTGGTCCTAATGTCAGCAGGTCCACTGGCAGCCGCAGTTCGTGATCCAGCAACAGTTTTGCCGGTGTGTATCCAGTTGACTCGTGGGCAGCCGACCTATATGCCATCAACAGAGCAGGCAACTTCAGGTCTCATTCTATCAGTCCCTCAACACAGTACTTGGCCAGTTCTTGTCTCAAGGTACAATTAAACTTTTCGACCATTCTGTCTGACTGTGGCCGAAGTGGAGTGGTCCTAGTCTTCCTTATGCCCAACAGTTTACAGCACTCGCTCAACACGACTGACTCAAAGTCTCTACCCTGGTCCGAGTGCAACTCGTGGGGCACACGAAACCGGCAGAAGAACTGGTCCACCAAGCACCCTGGCAATAGTCGTGGCTTCCTGATTTGGGATGGCATAAGCTTCTGGCCACTTAGAGAAGTAATCCATGGCCATACAGATGTACCTATTCCCCTCTGCAGTGAGTGGCAGAGGTCCTGCAATATCCACTGCGACCCTCTCCATTGGTGCACCTGCCTGGTACAACTGTACTGGAGCAGACAGACATCCTACTCATGCCAACCCAGTAAAACCTTTGCCGCAGGCGACTCAGGGTCTTCTTCACTCCCAGGTATCCACTGGTTGGACTGTTGCGCATCACCCTCAGGATCTCTGATCTCATCTTCTGGGGAAGTACTGTCTGCCAGTACCTGTTGAGGCCATCTGTAGTCACCCAATAGCGCTGCAGCAGACCATCCTTCAGCCGAAGAGCATCCCTCTGAACCCAGTAGTTTTTAGTCGTAGGACTTGCTCCAGAGATCGTCTCCCAGGCTGGCAGCACTGAGCTCTGGTTCATCCACTCGACCTTTGGTCGCAGGTCTTGGTCCTCCAGTTGCAGCTTCTCAAGGCCTTCCCTAGTAACGGCTGGATCCTCCTTCACTGTAGTGCGACTACACTTTTTGGGAACTGCCTCTCTCCTGCAGCACTGCTGACAATCGGACTTCACCACTCCCAGACGGGTATACAAGGCACCATTCACCTTGCGTGGCAACCGCACCTCCGATCTTGGGAGAGTAACAACTGTCCGCCTAGCTGTAATCTTAGCACTTGCATGCTTCACAGTTCTCAGCGGTACCCCTTTTTCCTTTATTCTCAAATATATAGAGCCAAGGTCCAGTTGACACTTACGAGGTAGTAGTCCAGGCCCAGGATGCAAGGGTCTTCGATATCCACTACATAAACCTGTAGGGTTTCTTCTTCCCCTCCCAACTTGATGCTGATATCCACTGGACCCTTTAGTACTGTACTGCGCAGTGTCCAGTTATCCCACACAGTTGCTGCGACGTCTCAGGTAGTTTTCGATGACTAACCACGTCCGGCCTCACAAAAGTCTGCTTCGAGGCTGTGTTGATCACCAACGGACACCTTACGCCATCGATCTCACCTTCAACCTGGACACTGCTTACAGTGGCTCGGTTGCATTTTGTCAATAGTGGGGCTCTAGTGAGACAGGCTGGTCGTTGCCCCTCAGCACCAGCCAACTCTAGTTTCTGGCTCTGGCTCTCCCTCTCTTGGAACTCTGTGGGCACTTACTCTTGAAGTGTCCATCTTCTCCACACGTCCAACATCCTCTCTTCTCCATGTTCTTCTCTGTATCGCCCTGCTCTCGCTCTCGTTTCCGCTTGTAACAGTCCTCCTGTTTATGCCTAATCTCTTCACAATACCAGCAGGCTCCTTTAAATCTCTCCGTCTCTTGTACTTGACCCTTTCATGCTTTAAACCCAGAGGTAGACTCCGTCCTAAAACTTGATAGACTTGACCTCACGTAAGATTCAAATTCCAGGGCTCTAGCCAAAGCTTCCTGTAGAGTTGCCGGTTGGGACTGCTTCGCCTGAATTTTGAGCTGCGTGCTCTCCAATACATCCACAAACTGGTCCCTCAACAACACGGCTAACAGTTCAGGTGATGCTCCAGGGTAGGCCCTATGAGGCATAATTTCTAGGTCTTGAGCAATCTGTTGCAGTGTTTCACCTCGAATACTTGTATGAGTATGGAATCTGGCCCTGTAAACCTCATTTTGGTGCTTGGTTCCATACCTTTGTTCCAATACCTTTACCAGTGACATGTAACTGCTTCACTCTGCTTCTGTCAACTGGCTGAGAACCTCCATAGCCGCACCCTTAAGACTCATGGCTACTTGTACTGCACACTGCTTGTCGTCCCACCTGTTTTGTTCAGCTAGTAACTCAAACTGTGCTTGGTATGCTTCCCATGAGACCTTGCCATCGAATTCCTGTG